TGTGTGTGTGTGTTTGTGGGAGGGGGGAGGGTTGGACGAGACAGAAGGGTTGGAAATGAAAATCCTACATTGTGCCATGCAGTTTGAAATATTGGGCTAAAAACTGTTGCTGAGATCGTTAGTGCATTGTTGTACTCTTTTACTGTTGTTGTTGTTTGGGGGCATTTTTTTCATCTTGTTCTGCTTTTTTTGAGTTGATGTGTGTTTCAAGAAAGTTCCAAATCAAGTACAAAGATTTTCTCTACCAAAGTGAGATTTAGATGTCCTCATATACTATGCTAATAATGCCACTATCATCACCAGCAATTGTCTCTTAGATTTGAAGCAGACTGCACAGTTTGTGCGCGACATCGGACTGACTGTCTAGCTGCTGTCACGGAGAACGTTTAAGAAGAAGAATCACAAGCAATGTCACTTCCGAGTCCGTCATTTCATAACTTCAAAAATTGTCTTATTTTGGGACTTTGTGAGCCATATTAAAATAGTTATCAAAGCTTTGTCAAACAGCATTATGCAAACCTTTTTCAACTAACTGAGGACATACTTTAACCTTTCCACTGCTACTCCTTAGCTACTTTTTACTGCTGTCTTTCAGAGACACCCCTGATCTTCTGGTAGGAAAGATCTACACCTAGCATTCTCGGACAAGGGCGGAAAATTTCGGTGGTCCGTGAGCAAGTTGCGCACGCTAATGACCCTTTGGTGGTCCAAAAATAGGTAAGAGTAGGCTTCGGCCCCCACCTGTGCAAACTTCCAAATGCCCTTCCAACTGAAAATGTTTAATGTGTCTCGCGTGCTCATAACAATATGACCTTATGCAGTTGCGAGCGCCGTAAAACACTTATAAAAAAAACTCCCCACCAAAAAAAAACCCCCAAACTCCAACACTCTAACATGTTTTGAAAACAAAAATAGGACACGTGACGAAAATAAAACAAAAGAAAACAGAAACAAGTATTTGCCCGGGCATGACTGTATATTTAGAGAAAAAGTAAAGTCTAGTACGAATCCCC